GAAAGAAAGAAAGAAAGAAAGAAAGAAAGAAAGAAAGAAAGAAAGAAAGAAAGAAAGAAAGAAAGAAAGAAAGAAAGAAAGAAACATTGATAGAGAGAGACATCAGCTGGTTGCCTCCTACACGTATCCGACCTGGGTCTGTGCCCTGACTGGAAATGGAACCTGCCACCTTCTGGTGTGCGGGACAATGGGACAATGCTCCAACTAACAGAGCCACACTGACAGGGCTAGTTTTGCCTGTTTTTGATTTTCATTTAAATGGAATCATACATTATTTCTATTTTGTGTCCGGCTGTTGCTTTTAGTTGGTTTGGGTGACTTGTTTTTGCTCGTCATGAAGTTGTGAGGTTCAGCATTGCTGCTGTGTGCCACACTAATTTATTTCTATCGCTCAGGAGTATTCTATTGTATGTATGTACCACAATTTATTTATTCATTCTATCATTGAGGGCCATTTAATTCCTTTTAATAAAATTGAACAAGTTGCAAGTGAATATTTAACAAATTGTTCTCAGATATAAATCATGAATAACATATCAGAAGTGAAAAAATAGTTTCCTTCTCTGCACATCCAGTAGCAAAGTTTTGAAAATGCTTTTCCTTCTCCATTATAGCAACACCTAGTGGTCTAACAAGCCTGCAGGTCTGGATGGGAGCAATGACATTTGGAAACAGTGAGCTCAGACAGGATCTAGATGTCCGCTAGAACCACACGACAATGTCTGGGCCCCACCAGAAATCATTTAAATCAGAACCTTTGGCAGGTAGAGCCTAAGACTGGTAGGATATAAAAGCTGCCTACATGATTTTACCTTTCAGCCAAAGCCGAGAACTAATCTAGACTAATGTTTCTCAGATTTTCGCCAAATGTCAGACCCCATGGAGGGCTTGTTCAACCAGATTGCTGGGCTACACGGCGGAGTGTGTTTCAGTAGGTCAGGGATGAGGCCCAAGAATTCCCATTTCTTTGATTGTTTGATTGACTGATTTTAGGGGGGGGGGGAGATACAGAGGAGAGGAACATCGATTTGTTGTTCCATTCATTGGTTGTTTCTTGTATGTGCACTGACTAGGGATGAAACCCTCAACATTGGCTTGTGGGGACGATGCCTAACCAGCTGAGCTATCCAGCCAGGGCAAGAATTTGCATTTGTAACAAGTTCCCAGGTAATGCTGATGCTGATAGTCCAGGGACCACAGGACAAGAACCACTGATCTAGACCAACTCTGTTATTTTAAACAAGGAAAACCTGCAGGCCCGGCAGGACAGAGTGATTTTCTGGAGTCATAGACCCAGTTAGTGAAAAAGTTATAATTAGAACGAAGCCTCACAATCACTTTCCCTTTCATCTGAAACAAAACTGGATCTCTCTGATTATTATGTCATCTGAAGCTTTGCTAAAAGAGAGACCACTAACACACACACACACACGCACGCACATGCACATACACGGTATTTAAGGGGTAGGTGAGGGTAACTCTTTTCTCTAAACCTATTTGCAAAAACCTAAGCATCCTGAGGAAGTGAGAAGATCATGTACACTAGGACCAGGATTTGAAGGGGGAGACAGGAGGGATGGGAAAGGCAGGCGATGAGGTTCCTTTGGGCAGCATGAACTCGGACCCCTGCTCAGGAAAGGGTGTACCTGCCTTCCAGCACCCCTCTCAGACCTCCTCTCCTTCAGCTACCTGCCAAAGGCTGAGCTGCTGCCAACCAAATGGGCCACATGGTCACAAGTCACCCATTCAGGCGGCCGATTGTTTCTTCCACATCTCTTTCACAGCACAAAATTTAGCCTGTTCTGCTGTATTTCCCTAGGGCTTCTAAATCTCACCCACATTTGCCCCTTACAATAGAATGTTTCCAAGCAAGGCCAGCTTGTCCCTGCAGTTATGGCCCAAGCCTGAGATTTGGATGACTTTGTGCCCAAGCATCTCTAGTGCCTGTGAGCCCATCCTCCTAGCTGTGCCAAGCACACTGTTATGACAATGCACTTGGGCACTGACCTGCTGAGCCATCTGACCTGCCTTAGTGACACCCTGAACTACCTGCTATCAACACGGTTGAAGAGCTTTGCCTGTGGGGCCAGAGGATCTGTATTTTAAATACACAACGCAAGGGACTCCAGTGGAACCCAGGTCTGGGGACCAAGCGGAAAACTTCATTTACTTATTTTTAATATTTTTAACTCAGGATTCCCATTCTACCAAGTGGGAAGAGAGAAGAGAGAGAAGAAACTACATTGGCCACAGACTTCAGGTGCAGGACATTTGCATATGAGACATAAAAACTGTTTTCTATGGAAAATAACTGATACTGACTCACTTTAAAATAAGAACATGGTAAAGACTTAAAGACTCTCTGATGCGGAGCAAAAAGCATCCAGTCCAGAGTGAACAAAAGAACTTAGGGGGAAAACACACCAAAAAGAGGATCTACAATTGATCAAAATGATTCTCCCAATGATAGTGGTTATATCACCATTTTCTTAGGAAGAACCAGGGGTTGATATGAGAATCCATATTATGACTTTGATCATTTGTTATAAAAACAGCTTTCACACTGAAGTAGTAGGTCCACTTAGTCTTCTGTTTCCTACATGAAGTCCCTACTTGAACCACCCCCCCAACCACATTTATTTATTTACACACACACACATATACACATGTACTCAATTACTGGGATCCCACTTTGACTTAAAGGTAATGAAGTCACCTCTTCAAATTCTCAGGGGGGGGTGCTCTCTTCCCCTCCCCAGAGTCATACTGGACATGTCCACAGTACTCCCACCACAGAAGGAAACACATTTCTTCACTTAAAATTTCACACTCACTTACTCTTGAGGCAATGTGTTGGACTACATGCTCTCTACATGTCTTCCAATTCTAAAAATCTGTTCAAACAAAACTGCACACACATGGTTGCTCTAAAAGCTTCATAAGTGATGAAGCAGGTAGCTGGGAGGGGCCGTGGATAGCTGTCAGGCTTCGGGCTCCAAGCCTCCATGACTACCAGAGGGATTATTACGTCTCCACACTGTTAATTTCTTAATGTGAAGGATGATATTTTTAAATTGAGAAATATTTATCATATAGTATTATATTCATATAAATAAAGCAAACCGCAGGCTAGCAAAAAATATTTCTAAGTTATAGAAATAACATATAAAGGATTTGTGTGTAGAATAAACATAAAGAACTCAGAACTCAATAATAAAACATTACAATTTTTTAAAAAGGCAAAATATCTGAATAGACATTTCACTAAAGATATACCATTAGCTGATAATCACATGAAAAGATGCTGAGTCACCACATTAGTCACTAGGGACATGTAAATTAAAACCACAATGAGACTGGACACCCACCAAAATGGCAATAATCAAAATGGATTGACAATTACAAGAGTTGGGGGAGGATTCCATCTCCTCAATGTGGAAGCCTCACACACCGATGGTAGGATTGTAAAATTGTGCAGCCACTTTGGAAAACAGTTTGGTAGTCTCCTAAAAATTAAACATAAATATACCATATGATCCAGCCCCCTAACTCCTAGGTATATACACCCATAGAAATGAAAGCATGTCCACACAGACTTCATCTGCAAATGTTCACAACAGCATTACTCATAAGAGCCACAATGTAGAAACAAATAAAATTTGAGTAGGTAAACTTAGTATGTATGTCCACACAATGGAATACTATTCAGCAATGAAAAGAAAACAAAAAGAATAATTAATGAACTGCTGATACATGTTACAACATGGATATATTTCAAAAATGATACGTTGAGTGAAAGAAGCCAGACTTAATGACTATATATTTTATGATTTAATTTATATGAAAGGTTCATAAAAGCAATTTTATAGACAAAGATTAGGTGCTTGGGCTGGGAGTAGGAATGGAGACTGACTAAAACTGAGCATGATAGATCTTTTAAGGTGATGGGAATGTACTAAAACTGGATTGTGGTGATAATTGCACAACTCTGTAAATTTACCAAATTATAAAAATATACCTCAGCATTTAAAAATTATAGAGACAGAATTATCACTACACTGTGGAAATAGCTTTTACAGAATTTTACAGAATTTATAGCACAATGAAGGCTGATACTTTTATTAGCGATTCCCAACCATCCCCGGGCTGAGATCCTTTTTTAACAGAAAAACAGTCACAATCTTGCATATATGAATTGAACCTTTAGTATAAATTGAGGAAATACATCATTTCAAGAATACTGTGAACTCTGTAATAATTTTAATCCAATTTCCATTTAACTAATCACATCTACTGCATATAAAAATGGTAGATAAATATGCAAGACAAATTGCTTATTCAATCTGCTGACGATGCTTAGGGCACATGTGGATTCGTGAGCTTTTTGCAAACAAAGCAGAACCTGAGTTGAAACTCTCTCAAAATCTTTTTGCCTGCTAAAGCAACACTGAACAAAAAAAGCAAAATTACTACCTTAAGTTCAATTCCATGGTGTTTTTTGTCAACTCTGCAGTCAGTTTACAGCTGGGAAAAACATGATTGACTGTCGGACACAGGAATGTCCCCTGTGTGGGCAAATCGTACTTGACAAGTGGATCCTAGAAAAAGAGGAGGTCGTATGGCTGAAACAATAAATACAGAAAAGTAGACTGGTCGGATGCTTGGCCAAACACGTAATGGAGCTGTTCTGTGAATTCCTGTTTTGTCTCCAATCTATCCCTTAGGGTCCATTTCAGTTAAAACCAGTTGCGTCTTCACAATTTGAAAGTGCAAACCTTGTAGTAAATGTTCGTGGCCAGGCAGACAATGTGGCCCCACGTGGCTTCCTTCCCCTGGGGTTTTCATTTTCTGTAGGATATCCTCTCAACTTTACAAACAGTGGCACAGCATCATTAAGTATTTCCAGAACGACCAATTGAGGACTTCCCACATATAAATCAATCACTTAATAGGATCTGAAATGCACTATTCCCATTGCCAAGAAATGGATTCTGAAATTGTTTCCAAATGACTTATAAGAAATACTTGTTTGTTTCGGTAAGTCTTGTTTTTGTCACTGGCCACTGACAGCCACTCACGCTGCACCTGCCTTGTTCAGCTGACAGCTTCAAGTGTTGCGAAGGCGAGAAACATAGGAGACATCTATTTTGAAACAGTGTATAACTGTTCAGTTGAATTTCCAAATAGTATGTTCAGTATGCTTTTGGGTAAAGTATAAAAAAAACACTATTCTCCCAGTGTTTCCAGATATTCTGGACACTCTTTAGTGTATTAATTATTTGTCTAGGCTAAGAATTGGACCTACTGCTTTTAATTTAGAGTACATCACCAGAAAACATACTGTGAGTACTATTTAAAAGTGTAAATAGTTGAAAAGTCAGTTTACCTAATGTTTCCTGTCTTGGTGAACATGCTGTAATATCCTCTGCCAAGGGATGTCAGTTTTGTCCAGCAGGAGACCATCTTTCCTAACTGCAGCCGGTCCTGGCAACCTCCCCAGGGCCAATTCATTTCCTACACCAGTCATTCAGGCTGTTCCCCATGTTATCGTAATTTTTCTTCATAATGGTAAAAGAAAAAACCTCTTGCAGATTAAAGAAAATAAATACCATGAATGGAGCACCTAATATGGGCCAGGAGCTGTACAGATACCGTATTTAATACAGCAATCTTATACCGTAGAGATCACTGTCCTCACTTTGCAGATGTGTAAGGTACACACAAGGTAACCTCACATAGGTAAGGAAATCGAGCCGGGGTCATCCACCAGTAAGAAGCAGGGTTAGGGTTCAAACACATGTGCCTCCTACACCCCTAGAGCGCCTCTATCTCCTACTCTTCCTGAAGTTAAGGTTTATGTTGCCTTTTCTAAAGGCATGAATTTGGCAACAGTATACTATTAATTTTTTAAATTATTATAATTACTTTTTAACTCAGGTAAAATTTACATAAAGTGAACAAATCCTAACTGTTAAATTTTATATTTCTAGACATTTGTGTAATCATCACCTAGATCAAGATACGGGCAATTCCAGCATTCTGGGTTCCTTCATGCCCCTTCCCGGTCAGTCCACACCCCCAAAGGAAACTGCTATTCTGCTGTCCATCACCATAAATTGGTTTTCATTATTTTTGAACTTTGTATGAATGAGATCATAAAGTATTTAATCTCTTGTATGTGGATTCTTTTGCTCATCATGTCCGTGAGGCTCACCAATGGACAGTGTATAAAATGGAAAAGTTCATTTTCCATTGCTTCAAAATAAAAAAGTTAATTTATATATTTCAAGTTGTTTCTAGAAGTTTCAGAAACTTGTTTTTTTAAATATATCTTTAGTGATTTCAGAGAGAAGAATGGAGAGGGCGAGGGAGAGAGAGAAGCGTCAATGATGAGTTATTGATCGGCTGCCTCCTGCACGCCCCCTACTGGGGATCGAGCCCGTAACCCGGGCATGTGCCCTGCTGGGGAATCTAAGTGCAATCTCCTGGATCCTAGGTTGACGCTCAACCATTGAGCCACGCTGGCCAGACTCAGAAACTTCTAAATCAAATTTTGGTGAAATATTTTATCATCAAACTTCTGTTATATCAGTCAACTTCTTAACACTCAGGACAATTTGTATTTTTATATCTAATATATTTTTAAAACCTTCCACATTAATACCAAATACCAACATGTTTTATGGTAAAGCAAATTATTTCCTTTAAAAGAAAACATATTTTTAAGATTATGGAAAAAAAATTTAAAGATAATATAAAACAAAAGTGAAACTTCATGTGTAATTTTATGTAGTGATATCTTTTGAAAGCCTGGTACTTTAATTCCTTAAAAAGTCTTACAGATGAGATTTGGGGATTCATAACTTTTTCCATATGTATAATTACTGACAAAATTGTGGGATTCCTTTGTATACAGCTGAGTAAGTAATCCCAACATATTCCCCTGACTTCATAAGGCTTGACAGTAAAAATTGTGGGAAATGGTCTTGCAACATTCATTACCAACAAATCTGAACATAATGAGTGACAAAGATCTATGCCACAAGTTATACAGAGGATACCTATAATCTTTTTATTTTAAAATTGTAGCTTTTGAATTGGGCAACAATTCAGTACAGGACTAATGTTACAAGGGAAGGAAAAGGCCTAGAAAGAAAGGCATAAAGAAGAAACAGAGGTGTGCACAAGTTAAAGATGTTAAAAATTTCACTTAAGGGGAAAAAAGTTCAGGAGCATAAAACATTTGTAATTTTGCATACATGTGGTTGAATTCATAAAGGCTTTAGAGCCACGAAAACTTGCTTTGAATCTCAGATTTATTATTTATTATCTTTTTTATTTGGCAAGTTATTAAGCTTTAGTTTAGTCACCTGAAAAATGGAGAATACTTAGAACACTGCTGTTCACCTTACATGAATATATATATATACACACACACACAGATATATATCAATAAAAAGCAAAAAAAAGTGAACAAGGATTTCAAAATATCTATAATTAATGTGAATAGAGAAAGAGATGGATAAGATAGGTAACATGGAATATTTTAACAGAATTAAAATCTATTAAAAAAGAATCAAATGGACATTTTAGAACTGCAAAATTCAGTGTCTGAAGTTAAGAATTTATTAGATAGGTTTAAAAGCAGACTGAACATGTTAATCCTATTATCTGGGAGATAGAATTCAAAGTGCAAAGAAAGGCCAATAGAAAATATATGAATTGAAGCACAGAAGAAAAAAAAAGAATGGAAAAAGAAAGCAGAACACGAGAAAGACTTGGTATAGAGTCAGGGAGTTCCAATAGTAAATGTAATTGGAGTGCTAGAAGGAGAGGCCAGAATAAGAAAAAGTCGTATTTGAAGAAATAATGGCCAACAGTTTTCCAAGTCTGTTTAAGGATGCTGACCAACAGACTGGAGGAGCTCAGAAAACCTCAGGTGGCATAAATAAATTCACACCGTAGAAATCAGTTAAATGCATGAAAACCAAAGATAAAAAAAAAATCATCTTAAATGCGATCTTACCTCTTAGGACTCTCCAACTTAATCCCTCTCTCCTTTGCTGTTCCTTGAACACACCTGGCACAGTCTTGCTTTAGAGGCCTTGTAGTGGCTGCTCCCTTGGCCTGGAACACTATTCCCCAACATGTCTCTCCAGGCACCTTATTTAAAAACCATAGCCTTCCCACCCCACCCTTGCCCTTAGGCTTCCAATCACACCACCATGCCTTATTTTTTTCTCATAGAACTTTTCACCTTCTAATATATAATTTACTTACTATGTTTACTGCTTATTGTCTGTCTTAACCTACTGAAAGGTTATCTCTGAAAGGATAGGTATCTTTGTTTTGCTGACTCCCCAAGTATCTTGAACAGTGCTTTGCACATGTAAGTGCTCAAAGATTATTTGTTGAATGTTAACTATTATATTATTACTATTATTATTCCAAGCCTTCTTAATCACCAAATAACTTGTTTATGTCATGTCCTCCATATAATATAGCTTTATTTACCTTTAGAAACGTTTTTGACATGTGACCCAGTGGGTACTATAGGGCAGTAATTAAATAAAAAGCAGACTTTGGAATCAGATAGCATGGATCTGCAAGCAGCAGGATTCCATATATATCTATTATGCATGCGTGTGTGTGTGTGTATCTATATGAAAGTCTTCTTTTGCAAAATATAGGCAAACAACCAAATTGATGTTCATTATTAATTTATACAGACAAACACACTCATAGTAGCAATAATATCAATTGTGTAGTGCTCTTACAGGTTCTAAGTACTTTACATATTAATGCATTTGATCCTTCTATCAACCTCATGGAAACCAAGGCACAGAAAGATTAATTTGTATCAAGTCCTACAGCTACTAAGTGACCGAGCCATGATTCAGGTCCATGCTGGGTTTCAATGAAAACAACAACAAAAAACTTTTCAGATTAGAAAGGATAATTCCTAAATAAATAAAAAATGAACTAAATAGTCCTACCTGGCATGGCTCAGTTGGTTGGGCATTGTCCAGTGACCAAAGGATTGCCCGTTCGATTTGGGTCAGGGCACGTGCCCAGGTTGTGGGCTCAATCCCCAGTAGGGGGCATGCAGCAGGCAGCCACACTCACATCGATATTTCTCTCTCTCTCTTTCCCTCTTCCTCTCTCTAAAAATCAATAAAAATATATTTTTTAAATGATCTAAATATAACAATTAAATTTAAGTCTGTTCAAAGAAAGAAAAACCTTTGTTAGCACTAAAGAATGAAATGCAGATATTAGTAGATGTCACTAGGTGATGCTGTTTGTTAAATTTCCCTCCTGGCAATCTGAGGAATTATTATTTATTCAGATGGGAAAGAATTTATTCTAGGCCTCATAATAATTTGGTTGTCTCTTTAGACACAAAAGTTACATAGTCCAGGAAATAAACTGATATGCAAACAAGTAAGCAACACAAATTGGAAAAGAAACTTTTGGTAAGATTGCAAACTTAGAGTATTGAGACTTCCACCTAATGAACATGGTATCTCTCTCTCCACTTATTTTTCTCTATTTTTGCCTTCATTTTCTTTAATGTCTTGATAATATTTTATATTTTGCCAACAGAGTTCTTGAGCATTTAAAAAAATTATTTCTGGTTAACGTATTTTTTATGCCACTGTAATGTTATCTGTGTATTTACTTTTTTATGTTGAAGTTTAAAAAAAATTTTTTTTGCTATTGATTGATTTTTAGAGAGAGAGAGAAACATCAATTTGTTCTTCCACTTACTTCTGCATTCATTGGTTGCTTCTTGTATGTGCCCTGACTGGGGACTGAACCCACAACCTTGGCGTATCTAACCAATTGAGCTATCCAGCCAGGGTCTACGCTGAAATATTTTAAATTGACATTATAACTTAAATACTAAATATTTGTAATTATTTTATTAAACTATCCATATATATTTTATGCCGTTTTCTTTTCTTTTTTTAAATATATCTTTATTGATTTCAGAGAGAGGAAAGGAGAGAGAGAGATAGAAACATCAATGATGAGAGAGTCATTGGGGATCGAGCCCACAACCCAGGCATGTGCCCTGACCGGGAATCGAACCCCGAGCGCCTGGATCCTAGGTAGACACTCAACCGCTGAGCCATGCCCGGCTGGGCTATGCAGTTTTCTGTATGTTTATTTCACAAAAGAAAAAAGGTTGGAAATGTGATGATGTATATAAAAATAATTTTTTAAAAACTGCTATATACTTTGTTAAACATTATTATTAAAAAAATTAACTTTTTGCTTTATAAAGCAGCCAAACATTAAGTAAGGGGGCTTTTGTTAATGTGGGTCATTTACTTGAGATAAATTTATCAAAAGGTACATACTGAGGATCAATTTTTGAGACTAGCAATAATGTCACCTGATTTTTTCCATGAGATATTTCTTACAAAACCATCAATTCTGAATCTTGTTTACTTTGATATTAGGTAGTATATTCTAAATAATTCCCATGAACTGCATTATGATACCTCAATGCTCATTTTGGCCAATATTCTAGCATATGCTACTTAAAAATTTACTGTAAGAAAACTCTGTATAAATTTTATAATTGTTCAAATATACACAATTTATATTCTCTATGTAAAAATGTTGTCATTTTCTATAGGTTATTTCAAATTCTTTATAGGATTTCACAGAATTTTTTTGTAAAACCCTCAAAGTCAAAAGTTGTTCAGAATTTCATGTTTTCACACTGACTTTTAATATATTAATCTATTTGATTGCCCTCTTCTTCTGAGTCATCTAAATCAATATCAAAATCTAAATCATCATTTTCTTCTTCTTTTCTTCTGAGGCTTCTTCTACAGTTGGAATGTGGGTTATTTTCAGTGTTTTCTGTCTTTTCTGTCTCTTTATTAAACCTAAAGATGGAAGGAAAAATTTCTCTTTATTTCTCAGGCTTTCACTATTTAACTGTGTAGACTGAAAAGAACTTTACACTACATTTCCTGATTAACAGAAGCCTAATGAAATAAGTATAAAGAAAAAGATCCTTAAAGACTAATTTAAGATCCAATGAATTATAATAGTGTTGTCAATAAAATAGGCTCAAAGAAATTTAACACATGATGTCCATTAAAGAAAAGTAGTAACATAATAAGGAACTTTTTTGTAATGAATAATGAATATGAACCTCATGGATAAATATTTTAATTTCCTAAAATTATAAAGTTTCACTTTTATTGAAATGATAAATTAAGACTTTTTCCTGTTATGTAGAAAAAGTCTGCATTAGTGTGATATACTGTAACTTAAGACTCACAGAGCTAATGAACGTTTCCTTAAATAAAATTCACTTATCAATTATTGAAAGAATAAAGTCCAAACATAAAAGAAATACTCACGGAGTAACAATGTCTTCTTTCTTTCCACATTTTGCACAAACTTCGAGTTCACAGGCACATGGTCTACACATTATGTGGTAAGAGTCCTTTACTGTCTTTTGTAAACATTTAACACTAAAAGTGGAAAATGAAATCAAACATTAGTATTTTTACTAATTACCTAGGATTTATTTGATAAAATGAGGAAGTACACCTAAACGCATATACAAAAAGCCTAAAAAACTCCTAGATTTCAATCTCAGATATTTATCTTATGTAACTTTACATTAAATAAAGCATTTAACAGTTTACAGATGTATTTGAGATTTATCTATTTTCTTAAAGCCTTAAAAAAAAAAAAGTTAGCTGCAAATAGTAACAGTCTTACTTCTTCCTTTCCAACTTGGATGCCCTTTATTTCTCTGGCCAGGATTTCCAATACTATGTTGAATAAAGGTGGTAACAGTGGGTATCTTAGAGGAAAAGCTTTTAGCCTTCCACTGTTGGAATATGATGTTGGCTGTGCCTTCTCATATATGGCATTGAAGTGCTTTCCCTCTTTAACCACTTTGTTGAGAATTTTTATCATAAATGGATGTCAGACTTTATCAAATGCTTTTTCTGCATCTATTAAGATAATCATATGATTTTTATTTTTCATTCTGTTAATGCGGTGTATTAGATTGATTGATCTCTAGATGATAAACTATCCTTGAAATAAATCCCACTTGATTATGGTATAGGATCCTTTTAATGTACTGTTGAATTTGGTTTGCTAATATTTTGTTGAAGATTTCTGCATTTATATTAATCAGGAATACTGGACTGTAATTTTCTTTTCTTGTGGCATTCCTGTCTAGTTCTAGCATCAGTAATGCAGGCCTTGTAAAATGGGTTTGGGAGTGTTTCCTCCTCTTCTATTTTATGGAAGAGTCAAGAAAGGTTGGTATTAATTTTCTTTGAATGTTTGGCAGAATTCACCAGTAAAGCTCTCTGATCCTGCACTTTTGCTTGCTGGGAGTTTTTGATGACTGATTCAATCCCCTTACTAGTAATCAATCTATACAGACTTTCTTTTTCTTAATCATTCAACTTGGTAGGTTTTATGTTTCTAGGAATTTATCCATTTCTTCTAGGCTGTCAAATTTGTTGGTGTAATGTTCATAGTAGTCTCTTGTGATTCTTTATGTTTCTGTGGTATCAGCTATAACATTCTCTTTCATTTCTGATTTTATTTATTTGAGTCCTCTTTTAGCTAAAGACCTGTCAATTCTGTTTTTGTTTTTAACTAACCAGGCTTATTGATATTTTCTATTGTCTTTTTAGTTTCTATTTCATTTATTTTCACTCTGATCTATGTTAATTCCTTCTTTCTAATAACTTTGTACTTTTCTTCTTCTTTCTCTGATTCCTTGAGGTGTAAAGTTAGGTTGTTTGTTTCTTGATGTAAGCAGTTATTGCTGTGAACTTCTCTCTTAGAACAGTTTTTGTTGCATCCCAGTGTTTTGGTATATTTCCATTTTCATTTGTCTTGGGGTATTTTTTTTTTTTATTTCTCTCAGATTTCTTCTTTGACCCATTGGTTCTCCAGTAGCATGTTGCCTATTCTGCACAAATTATTCTAGTTTTCTTCTTGTAACTGATTTCTAGTTTCATGCCACTGTGATTGCAAAAGATGCTTGATACAATTTTAATCTTAAATTTTTACCACTTGTTTTGAGGACTAACATATGACTTATCCTGGGCAATAATCCATGTGCGCTTGAGAATAATGTATACTCTGTTGCTTTAGGATAGAATGTTCTATATATATCTGTATAATATTGTTAAAATGCCTATTATACCTAGAGCAATATACAGATTCAATGCAATCCCTATCAAAATCTCGATGACATTTTTCACAGAAATAAAACAAACAATCCTAAAATTTGTATGCAACCACAAAAGACCTCACATAGCCAGAGCAATATTGAGGCATCATTCTCCCTGATTTCAATGCATAAATAAGTGGAACAACAAATCTGTTTCTCTTTCTCTCTGTCTCTCTTCCCCACCCCTTTCCTCTCTCTCTAAAATTTAATTTAAAAAAAGAAGTTAAAAAAAAAGAATGTAAAAAGAACACCCCAATGAATGGAAGTAAACATTTGCAAGTCGTATCTGATAAGGGACTTATATCTTGAATATATAAAGAACTCATAATTCACTAATAAAAAGATATAACTCAATTAAAAATAAGCAAAACATCTACATTGACATTTCCCAAAAAAGATACATAAATGGCAAATAAGCATATGAAAAGATGCTCAGCATCATTAGCCACCAGGGAAATATAAATCAAAACCACAATGAGATACCACCTCACATCCACTAGGATGATTACCATCAGAAAGAAGGGCAATAACAAGTGTTAGTAAGAATGTGGAGTAATTGGAATTCCTGTATTGCTCCTGGGAAATAAAAAGGTGAGGTCATTTTTGAAAATAATTCAGCAGTTCCTCAAAAGCTTAAATATAGAATTATCAAATAACCCAGGAATCCCACTTTTAAATATACCCAAGAACTGAAAATCTATTTGCACACAAAAAACTTGTTCACAAAATGTTCATAGCAGCATTATTTGTAATAACCAAAAAAAGTAGAAACAATCCAAATGTTCATCAATTGATGAATGGGTAAATAAGATGTACAGCTATACAATGGAATATTATTTAGTAATAAAAAAGAATTAAGTACAGATAAATATTACAGTGTGCTTGAAAAAATTATGCTAAGTGGAAAAAGTCAGTCACAAAGACTACATATTATATGATTTTGTTTAAATCAAATGTCCAAAATGAGTAAATCTACAGAGACAAAAGGGGTGGGGAGCTGTCTGGGGGAAAATAGAGATTGGTTGCTATGAGTATGGGTTTCTTTCTGAGATAACAAAAATGTTCAAAAACTGATTCTTGTGATTGTTGCACAGCTCTGTGATACACTAAAAGCCACTGAATTGTACCCTTCAAATGGATGAACTATACAGTACATGGATTAAATCTTAATAAAGCTGTTTTTAAAAAGTCAAATGGAAATGTTAGAATTAAGAAAAACATGGAATGAATGATGTAAGATATAAGAAACCCTCTTTAAACATAAATATATTGATAGTTAAGTAGAACAAGAAAAAAATGCAAACACTAACCAAGAGAAAGTATATTAACATGACAAAAAAGAGGTCACTTTTCCAAAAACACACAATATCCTGAATGTTTATGCACCCAATAACAGGCTGTTAAAACAAATGAGGGAAAACTATTGAATAAAAAGAGAAATAGACAAATTCACAGTTACATCTAGGGACTTCAACACCTCCCTCTGTAACTACTGGACAAATAGACAAAAAATAAAAATAAAAAATCAGTAAAGATATAGAACATCTGGTTGACAGAAGACTATGAACCAAATTGACATTTATAGAACCCTCCACCCAGCAAGAGCAGTATGTTTTTTTTAAGTACACATGAAACATTCTCCAAGATAGATCATAAAACCAACTTCAATAAATTAAAAAAAACACACAGAAAACACAGAATAAAACTATCTGAAAACTTATATGAAGTATGTTCTCTTACCACAGTGAAATTAACTAGAAACCAGTTACAGAAAAATATCTGGAAAGTGCCCAAATACCTATAAATGAAACAGGACACTTCTAAAGAATCTACAGGTCAAATAGGAAGTCACAGAAAAATTAGGAAATATTTTGATTGAATGACAATGAAAACATCATCAAAATTTGTAGAATGAAGCTAAAAAAGTTCTTAGGAAATACATATAATTACATGTTTATATTAAACAAGAAAAACTATCTAAACTTCCACCTTAAGAAAATAGAAAAAAGACAAATAAATTAAACTCAAAGCAAACAAAAGGAAGAAATACTGATATGAATAGAAAACAATGAAACTGAAAACAGAAAAATGGGAAAAAATCAATAACACCAAAACCAGGTTCATTGAAAAGATTTATATAATTCATAAACACATAACCAGACTGATCAGGACAAAAAAAAGGGAGAAAACAAATTACCAATGTCAGAAATTGAAGAGGAGGCAGCACTACAGATCCAACAAATATTTAAAGACTAATAATAAAATTTTACTGACAACTCTATGCCCATAAATCCAACACCATCATTGAAATGGACAAATTTGGGAAAGAGACATTATTAAAACTTGTTAAGAAGAAATACTTAATCTAAAAATCCTCTATCCCTTACAGAAAAATTTAATCGTCGTTAAAAACTCTCCAACAAATAAAACTCCAGACCCAAATGGCTTCACTGATGAATTCTACCAAACATTTAAGAAATAATACTAATTTTACACAGATCCTTTCCAAAAACAACATAGGAAAAACAGTTCCCAACTCATTTGCTGAGGCCCTAATAGCAAGACAAAACAAAAAGAAATTACAGACTAGTATTTCTAATAAACATATATGTAGAAATCTATGGCAAAATGTTAGCAAATCAAATCTAGCAACATATAAAAATTATATATATCATGACCAACTGGGGTTTACCCAAGGGCATGCAAGACTAATTCAATATTAATATCAATAAATGTAACTCACCAAATCAATGTTCTAAGGAAGAAAAACCATATGATAATCTCAATAGATGCAGAAAAAGCATCTGACAAAATTTAACATCCATTCATAATAAAAAGCCTCAGCAAACTATGAATTGAAGCAAACTTCTTCAACCTGATAAAAAGCATCTACAAAGAACCTACAACCAATATTGTACTTACTGGTAAAAGACTAAATATCTTCCCCATAAAATCAGGAACAGGGCAAGAGTTATCTGTCCTCATCACTCCTAGGCAGCACAACAAGGTAAAATGAAATAAAAGCGATAAAGATTGGAAAGCAAGAAATAAAACTCTCTTCATATAGAAAATCCCAAAGAACCGATTTTTAAAAGTATTAAAAATAAAAGTAAGTTTATTAAAGTAACAATATATAGTCAGTAAACAAAAATAAACTATCTCTATATTGTAGCAATGACCAATGATTTTCTGTAAAAATTGACAAGCTGATTCTAAAAGTTATAAGAAAAAAAGCAAAAGAAACTATAATAGCCAAAACAACTT